AAAAAAAAAAAAAAAAAAAACCAACCTTTGGAGTGGCTCGTATCGTAACCATGACTCACCAATTTACACTAAAAAAGCAACGACACGCGAGTCCTGGCAAGCGCGGGAAAAGGCGCGGATGGACCAATTCACAATTAAAATCTGATAGGCTTACTTCGAAAACTCAACGACTAATCAACTCTGATCTGCCCATCAGTTTTTTGCTCTTAATATGAGCAGTAAGCCTTGAAACTCAATTAAAATTAAAACACAATTTGGGGATTTTTGACGAAATATATTTGGTCGCAGCAGTCCTTTAAGAAATTCAGCTTACTGAAATCTACAATGACAACGAATATAGATACTGTAAACAAGGAAGGGGAAAATTACTTCACTTACCAACCCGCGAAGGGTCCCGTCTCTTCTCATGGATAGGTATCTGCCCGTCGCTGTACTCATTAGTCTGACGAGACTGGGACCGAATGACTGCATCTCAAACAACACTGAGAACAACACAAAAGAAAGATGGGAAATTATTTAATTATCTTTTTTTCTTCAGCGTCAACAAGGACAAAAAAAAAAAAGACTGAGGAAAGTTGAGAATGAAAATCTATTCCCACGTCGTCATCCCTTGAGAATTCAGACATAGAATACTTTTTTTTTTTTACCGATATTCAGTATGACTAATGATGGTATGGACAGCCGGTGAGGTTTATGGGCCTGGAAATCGTGGAAATTGAGAAACAAAATCCTTGATTGAAATTTACCCTCGCAGTTCTTGCTTTGTTGCAATACAAAACATCTGAACGGTCGTCTAGCTCCCTGTGTGATCTTAATTTAGTCTGCTAAGACTTGACTGATAAGCTTTTTTAAGACCTGTTAAGGAAATGAATATAGTTTGCAAGGCGTAATAGTTGTCATGGTAACTCTGTTGAGCTTACCATACTTGCTGCTCTGGTCAACTGTCCCCTTCACTACCCCACTGGGAAGGATTTGAAGATGATAGCCGCTACGGCAGAATATTTTACAGTGTGTCGTAGCTGTCGGGCGTTTTGTGATCTTGCGAACGCGTTTAAAAGACGTTTCTAAAGACTGCTGTGGCCATTTCTGCTTCCTGAAAAGGAACGTTTTCTGGAAAGAGCTTCTGGTCTTGTTGTTGTCGTATTTAGCCATTGAGGTTGATTGGTAATCCTTGGACATCCTTGCATCTTTCTTCTGTGTTTTCGCTCCGTTGAGCGGTGCAGCTGAAATGTTTGTCTCCGTAAAGCAAAAGAGTTGAAGAAGTAAAAGCAGGAGCTGTATGGAGTTCATGGTTGACTGCATTGATGGGAATTAAAATTGTACAGAAATAAATTTTAAAGCATGTTGCAGAAGGGGGCCTGCATCTAGTTAAAAATACAACACTTAACACTTAACCCGTAAACATCATTCTCAGCCGAGGATATTTTTAGTTTTAGCAACGCGTTGGCAGAACAATTTACAGAAGAAATAATTAATATTAGTGAGACCACTCTCTTGTTAATTCAGCGCTCGATTCGTTGAAATGCGTGGCATCAAGATCAAAATGGAAGTTGTCTCCACTACGCCGGAAAAAATTGAAAACGCAGCTTTATTTCTACGGCCAGGCCTACCGTCCACACTAATCCGTCACGAAAACGGAGCTTTTCGAAAATTCTTTTCAAACAGAAGGAATTTGAAAACGTCGGCTTATTGTTTTCTTGTGGACGGAAAGCATTTTGAAAACGCAGCTTTTCGATAACCAAGACCTCACGATAATCATGTGATTTCCCTTTTCGAGATCTAGATTCCTCAAACACAAATCCAAAATGACCGGTGATTGTTGCTTTTTTAAATTCCTCCGACGTAGTGTGGACGGAAAAGATTTGATGCGTCAGTCAGAGTGAAACCTCCGTTTTCAAATTCCTCCGCCATAGTGTGGACGGGACATTTTGGCGACTTGGCTGGTAAGCCGCCCCAAGAAAAAAGAATTTAATATTCCCTCTGTGATGGAAACAAAACTCAACGTTTAAAAAAAATAAAAAGAACAAGGTCTTTACACCGCAGATATACATCAGTTTTTAAACGTAACGGTGTGTTAAATGATTACTAGTGAAAATTGTGAATTTGTTTCAGAATTTGCTATGTTTTCATGGCCAAGTTTGTAGTCACGGCAACGTCAGCTTAATTTATAATGAATTTTCTGTAGACCGTAACTGATATAAAATTAACTCCTTTTTTCGGGATGTTACTAAAACTGGTAACCAGTACCAATCGGACTCTGCTCTAACAAGAACGTACTGATTATCTGGGGACGAACCCGGTAGATAATCACCAAGACCGTAACACTTCCTCATATTTCCGCAAATTGTTGCCTTTAATTTTCGAACCTTTTCGTTTCCTATGTTCGCCATTTTGAATTCTCAGGCCGGTTACCGCTGTACAATCGTTCCCAGACTCCTGTTCCCGGGTCTCTGTTCTCCGTTCCCCGTTCCCCGTTCCCCGTTCCCCGTTCCCCGTTCCCCGT